ATATTACAGACTTTGAATAGAAAAAAATAGTTCTATTAGTTTTGCACGTGTCAAAAACCTTTTTGAAAGATGAGATAATGCATATCACATTGTTCACTTAGGGCCAAAATGCAAACGTTCATTGGAATTGTCATAAACTTGGAATTTACATTATGATGCTCCATTGACTATCACACACGGGCCAACTGCCTCGTTTGCTAATTCTTCAATGTCTTATATTACTATGTCTTATTGATATTTATTCGTAAATAATTCTGAAATCTACAATCAAACATTTTACTATGTTGTTAAAGTAATTCTATAACATCCTCCACCTTCGTCGTCGAGCATACGTCACTACGGCACACTTTCTTTGTTTGCCATTCCATGAATGTGAAGTGAAGCAAGTGTTGGGTTGGTGAGAAGCCAGTGCTTGCAAAGCGCGACGGTGGGGTGGGCCCGCCTTCGCGAAAGCAAAGCGCGGCGCCACGGCCGCGCTGTCGGCGGCGACTTCCCGCGGCGCGCTGCGGACCGGCTCGTTGGCGGAAGGGCGGGCCGGCCCGGCCGGCAGCTTGGCCTGCGCGGGCGCGTGGCGGCGGAGCGGTACTCGCAGCGGGGCGGTCGCCTGGGTGTGGAATGTTGCGGTCCGGCGCGCCGGCCCGGCCACCGCCCTCTGCCGCGCCCCGCCGCCCGCGCCCCCGTCCCGCCAGCCGCCCCGCCCCCCGACGCCTCCGCGAGCCCCCACCGCCTCCGCTGACTGCTCAACGCGCGCCGCGGCCCGCCATCGCCCCGCGCCCCAACCGCCGCCACCGCCGGGCTCACAGGCCCCTGCGCTCTCCCTCCGCCGTATGCGCCCGACACCTCCGTCACCAGACCGCGAGCGAGCGCTCAGCTGCCCCGCCGCCCCCACCGGCCCGCCTCCACCACCCCCGACCACTTCCACCGCCCCCGCCCGCCTCCCACCCCACCGCGCCAGCTGCCTCCACTGCGCCCACATCCCCCACCGCGCCCCGCCCGCGGCGTCACCGGCCCCGCCTCCCTCACGCCCCACGCCTCAGTGCGCCACACCTCCTCCACCACCACACACGCCCCGCAGCACCCCGCCGCGCCCCCGCCATCCACCCGCCGCCACCTCGCCACGCCACCGCCCAGCTTCGTCCCACTGCCCCAATCCCCCCGCCCGCTCCGCTCCCGGCTCACCGGCCCCGCCTCCTCACGACCCCCGACCGCCCTTGGCCCCCGCCCCCGGCCTCCACCGCCACAACTGCCCCCACCGTTCCCACCGCTCCCACCGCTCCCAACGCCCCCAACGCCCCGCCGCCCAGCAGCCCCCGCCGCTCCCAACCGCCGCGCAGCGGACGTGCTCTAGGACGAGTCAGCCCCACCGGCCGTCATTTTCCTCCGTGGAAGACAGGGTTGTATAGAACGTTGCTTACTTGTTAGTGTTGGGAGAGTGTTATGGAAGGTGCACTTCGTATCAGGAAGCAAAAGAGCTTCAACTATGAAGCTGGATAATTTGAGAGCTTTAAATTGTATGAAAAATCGATTCATAACTATATAATGCCTCTAAAGCAAAATTAAGTGATGATCACTGCGAAGTAGCCTCAGGAAACAATTGTAATGAACATTTTCCTCCGGAGACAGGGTGCACACCCTATTGATTTTGGACTTTAACCATTCGCAAGCAACATTAAATTTATATATATTTAAAAGCAAAAACATGTTTGAAAAATCCTAGGGAGTGAGTAAAAAAGTAAAAGTTATAATAATAGTAGTAATAATAATAATAATAATAATAATAATAATAATAACAACAACAACATATAAGCAGAAACAAGAAATCGAACGCCATTTTATTCTAATGAAATACACTGAGAAGATATATCGATGTAGGGCAGTGACGCCTGGCCCGAAGTCGGCGTTCCAAAAAATCCCAAAGGTGTTCGTTAGATATCAAGCCAGGGCTCTGTGCAGGCCAGTTCATTACAGGGATGTTATTGTCGTGAAACTACTCCGCCACAGGCCGCGCAGTATGAGCAGGTGCTCAATCGTGTGGAAAGATGCAATCGCCATCCCCAAACTGCTCTTCAACAGTGTGAAGCAGGAAGGTTGTTAAAACATCAACGTAGGCCTGTGACGTGTTAGTACCCCACAAAACAACAAAGAGTGTATGCCCCCTCCATGAAAAACACGACCACACCTAACACAATTTTGGAAATGTCCGGATACTTTTGATTACATAGTGTACATCTGAAGTCCACTCACTAAGAGCTTGACAGTTATCAATAGGGAATGTGATGTTTCGAAAAAATAGATTTGCTAAAAAACTAAAAACGTTGAAAGAAATGATGTAAAGGAAAATAAAATGGGACACATGACTCAATAAAAATTTCATTAATTATTTCATTAAATGGTGCGCTAACGTAAGGTTTTCTTACTAATAACAATATTAAAAAATAGAAAATAAAATATTGTACCTTAAATTTAACAAGGTGGACCCCCTTATGGCTTCCCATCGGCTGCATTAATGTACGAGTACGTTAAACAGTACGTTAAGTTACGTACGTACGTTAAACCCTTTCAAGTTTTGTACCATGAATAGTTGGTGATTATATATCTCAACATTTTCATAGTTATGATATTTACTCGATAGAACATACCTTTAGTTCTGAGTACATATGCATTGCTCAATATGTAGGATACTTAGCACGTAATATAAATATCAGTCCCGAGAAAGAACTCAAAAAATAATTTGTGTAACTTTTGAAAGCACACTAAAGAATAAAGCAAAATGTCATTTGTGATATCATATAGGATGCATTTGTCACTTTAAGTACAAAGAGTTTAAGCAAAAAATTTGGAGCTGCTTTTGAGAAAATATTGGTTCTATAATTTTTTTAATATTGCCCATATTTCTCTCAAGAAGTGCAAGAAAACTACTAAGGTTTTGAAAGAAGTACTTGGAATTACTTAAAAAATTATATCCATTTAAATGAACTGAACCCTAAATTAATTTCTTTATTCTACCCTTTTAGAATTCTTTGAAATTCAGTCAGTCTCCCCACTGCTCGTATTTCGCGAATGTTCTTTCCCGCCTGAGATATGGCATATTATTCTGGGGAAATGCATAAAATATTTAGAGGCATTTTTTGGACAACATTTTGAAAATGTTCGAGGAGCTTTTTGTACTTTCCAAAATCGAGGATATTTTTTCATATTTGGCAAACCATAGTCAATTCAGAAAGATCGGGAATATTTCATGTGGACTTCATTTCCTTGAGTAGTTCAGGGGCTAGTATTGTTTACGCGCGATGGAAAGAACTAAACAGTTGTTTCCCGTAACCCAATATTTGGTATGAGGACCTACAAGTCGTCGTTTTTGACTATACAATGTGTCAGAAGTAATGTAATATACAGGTGTCCAGAAAGGAAACGTTGAAACTCTGAAAATAAGCTCTTAAGACAATTTTAAGTATCTTTTGTCTAATAAACTACGTGTAAATTCCGAATTGTTGACACAGTATGCACTCAAAAGTTGGCTTGAAAAAATGATTTCTAGGCAATAATTTTCATTGAAGAAGCATATAAACCCTCCAGACAAATGTATTAATTTCCATTTACAATAGAAATTAATATATTTGTTCAGAAAGGAAAAAAAGCGAGAAATAAAAAAGCAGTCGGATTGTGTAAAGTGGGTGTTTTTTTATTTCTGGAATATTTTTTCTTTCTGAATAAATATATTCATTTCTTTGGTGAATAATAAACCATTGACATGTTTCTGGAGCCTTTTATAAGGCAATTTTTTTCCTAGAAATAATTTTTCCAAACCAACCTTTGTGTGCTTATTGTGACTCATCCATTCGGAATATCCACGTTGTTTATCAGACAAAATATGCCTAAAATTGTCTTAAGAACTTATTTTCGAAGTGTCAACGTTTCATCCCGGACACCTTGTATAAAAGACCAAGATTTATATACTTGTTTGCCGCAGATTTCGGTATCTTTCTCTACATTACATAATATTCCATATATACGCAGGCCCTGATACTACGAGAAAGTAAGAATAAGATTTTAGTTGCTGGTAGAGCTTCATATATACTGGAATCAAGCTGTACGACCAGAAAAGACTGCGTTTTTACAAAAAAATATACTCTTACTAGCGGAACCCGATAGACGTTGTCCTGTCCTCCCACTCCCTGTTTCTTCTTACCTCTCTCTCTCTTTCTCTCTCTCTCTCTCTCTCTCTCTCACCCTGCATCTATCTGTCTGTCTCTGCCTCTGATTGCCTCTGACTCTCTTTCTCTCTCTCCGTCTCTCTGCCTGACTCTCTCTCTCTCTCTCTCTCTCTCTCTCTCTAGTTGTCTCTGTGTCTCTCTACCTCTGCCTCTTTCTGTCTCTACCTCTCTGTCCCTCTCTGTCTCTCTATCTTTCTCTCTCTCTCTCTCTCTCTCTTTCTATCTCTATCTCGTAACAGTCTCTTTCTTTCTCTGTCACTCTCTGTTTCTCTCTCTGCGTCTCGGTCTCTCTCTCTCTCTCGCTTTCTCAGTCTGTCTACTTCTGTCTGCCTCTGTCTCTCTAGTTCTCTTAAGTGAATGTTACAAAGAAAACACCTTTTGTTACAAATGTTATAATGAAAACACATTTCAACAATTATTTTCAAATTTATGGTTGAAAATGACAGCATGACGCAAATGAAATAGTAAGGATTGTGATGTCTGGAAGGACGAATAGCCTACAGATGTTCTCAGTTTCGAAGCACATAGTGTCTCGCTACCTATCTCATGCAAGTGGAATATGCAGGCGCGGTAGACGTGTAAAAATAAAGTTATTTCATTTTTATGGCGTAGCTTCCGTGACAACATCAATCACGTAATTCTGAGGCACGACATTCTTGGGGAGCTGAAGTGTTTATTATAGGAAAGAGTGCAGAGTTCGGACGTTACGAGTACACTATTAACAAGCGTTCGACTAGTACAAAGAGAAGACACAGTCAAATACCAATCTTTTTTTTTTGTTTTGAGTCTAAATAACATTGTCAAGTTTTCAGTAAAAAGGAGAAATACAATGGGAGTGAAGGGAAATATAATTTTATTATTTCATAAAGTTGAAAATACTGAAGTATTTATCTATTCTGAAAAAATATAGTTATTTGTTTATTATCAAAATTTATAATTTGCTTAGGGAAATATGATGGTTTGTCACCATTTGTAATAAACTATCGACACAAAATCCAATAAGTGTACTTCCACTGGAAAGGGAATCATTTAAAGAGATTTAAGGCGAAAAACTTAGTTCTCAGATTATGGTGTAGGGTGTAACCTGGTACACGTGCAGCCTTGAATCCCCGGTTCACTTCACATTCTTACACGACATGGAACCAATGTGACCGAAGTCGTTAATACTAGTTTCTATACTATATTAACAATGTACCTAATTTTGAAATTACCGTTTTATTGTCCCTGAAGAAATGTGATTTATGTTTTTATGCCATAAAATATACCGTGAGATCTAAAAGGACGACCTATTAAATTTTTAAGGATACTCCCACTTTGAAACTTGGGTTGGCAGAAACATTGGATCCTGGGATCCAGAAAGAAATTATTTTCACTCTTCAAGCAATGAGATCTAAGAAAAATGGGATGTTTGTATGGATCTACTTTGCTATTATTAAAACTAAAAGTAAATTTACAAAAATATTCTTCAATACTGTATTAACAATGAACCTAATTAGGAAATTTGAAAGAAGCAATGTAAGGTTGTGATTTTAGATACATTCGTAGTGTAAATAAAGTTAAAGTTATTACGTGTTTTGAAACTCCAAGAAAATGTACTTGTATCAAAAAATGTAATTTTGCGTTTGTAGTATTGTCATAATCTTATTATTATTATTATTACATTTTAGGGCTATTAAATTTTAAGAAATATTAGTTACTAATTAAGTTTTATTACTTTATCAAAACGGAAAAATATGGTAGTCATATGCACGAACTTGAGAAGAAATGATAAAAGCTATAAAATAAAATATTTTAGTGATTTTATGTTCTCGTATGCGTAAATATATGTACGGAAAAAATTCATAGTATTGATTCAATTCTTAATTAAACTGAAAGTATTAGTAGAATTTACCGAATTTTGAGAGGAATTAGTTTACCTACAGATACAACAACGAAGGAATTACTTCACCTGCAGTGATAAGTATTGAGAAATTAATTCACCTGCAGAGATAAACATCGAGGAATTGGTTTACCTGCGGTGATAAACCTGGAGTAATTTCAAAACTTTGCTAATGCTAGTGTAGCTTCAGTTCGTATTTAAGGTAGGGGACAGGCGGTGAAGGGCAGTAAAACAACACCCTCTTTGGGATGGCGTTTGGACCTGTCGGACTGATAAGTTACGCAGCGTATGTCGCTACTGGCGTAAACAACATTTTCTCAATAGTGGGTCTGTTTCAATGAAAATTTGCATCTAGGGCCATGTTTTACTCTTCTAGAACATTGTTGAAACCACGTATTAAATTATTGTATTAGAGGATCCAGAAAATTTGAAAACACATTTTTTAGGCGCATGAGTCTTGGGAAAAGAGGATGGGTCAATAACAAAATACTAGCCATAGTAAACCGATTAGAAAACTAAATAATTCATTCTGTAGGGAAACAGTTTAGTATTAAAATATTGAGACACACGTTATATGTAATTAAGAGATTTTCCAACATATACTAGTACGTGATATTACCATTTTAATTTAAATATATTTGAAAATCTAGGAGTTATTAATGGCACGCCCCAAGAGACGGAATGCAAGGAAGGTTCCGAGAGCTTATTCTCTGTCTAGATAAGGAATACATTTTGTTTCAACCATGATATATTCTTGTTTTGTCACAAAATCTATTAATTATAATTATACAGCAGAAAATAAGTTTCCAGTACAGAGACTAGCTGAAGTAACCTGGTGTTTCCCGGCAATTTATTATAGCTATTTATCATATCAATATATCGAATGTTGTGGAAATTATGGATAAATACCCATAATTTGAATAAATACCCAAAATACCCCGCAAAGAGGAGATTTATCTGAGAATTTTCAAAGCACGAGTGATATTTAAGAGGTCTATTCCACGAATGTGTATTATAGGAGTGATATTTAAGAGGTCTATTCCACGAGGGCGAATGAAATTACGTTCAACAAAGTTCCAAAATACGCTAAATTTTGAAAATAAGTGAAAGCATCTTAAAATCAAGAAGGCTATGTGAAAACTCTTCCGCAGTTTATTGGAAATCGACATAGCGATCGACGTATCCGCCTCCTAAGATAGATGAGTCACAGTTTATGAGTGGCCAGTAGAGAGAAGCAGTCATTCAGCCGCGAGTAGTCGCACAGTACAGACCTACGCGCACAGCGCTGTGCCTCCCCTCGTACCCGTCTTCTGTGTTCCAGTGAAAGTAATAGTGCTACAGTAACAGGTATCAACCACTCTCACTAATTGTGTGATGCAAATATTATAACAAATTAGTGCAACATTTTCAACCGACAACGCTGGCATTCGCCAGTGTTTTGTAGATGCCCTCGCACAGCTCTACCCAACCGAGGGCAAAAAGGAGGTCGCTTACCAGGAAGGCGACACCCGTAAAACATCATAATTCCTGCAAATTCCAGAGTATCTACTAGAACAACATCAACCAGATCAGCGGTTACCTCTAGCCCCATTGCATCAGCCTCATGTTAAGTGGAGAAATGCCGCATGACAATGTTAATGGTCAACAAAATAAGGTCAGTAACTATCTGCCGGCCAACGGCAATGCGAGTTCTTCGAAGTGCAATGGTAATGGCAGCGCAAATGCAGAACCAATTTCCCAAGAGCCCAGTGGCAAGCGAGGTCATAGTGATCCAAATGTAAACCTGCAACCAAACAAAAAATCGTGTTTATCTATTCTCAAGATTATTGTTTTCTTATTAAGATAGATTTGACCCTTTAAGGGACCTACTAGGAATTAAATCAAGTTCCGTACCCCGAAACATCACCGTTCCCGAGAACTCCGAAAATATTACAATCCCTCCTATGCACAATATTAACAATATTGAAAACTTTATAGACCTAAATAATGAAATTAAAACCCATATCACTAACCAGTTTACATCAACCTTTAATAATAACAAAGCAAAAATTAACTTTAACCAAATAGAAGATTTCAGAAAAGCTGTAAATAAGTACTAATAAACGGGGCTGAAACGTAGTACGAGTATAGGGTACCATCTATGGAAGTCGTTTAAACTGGCACTTCGCGCCGTTCCGGCGTTAACTGGGCAGTTAGAATTCTGGAGGCTTTCTTGAAAAGTGATGCCTTATAAAAGTGAATTGGTAATTATGCATTGGGTAGATGTTTATAGTGAACGCGAGGGCCGAAGGTCCGAGCCTTGCCGTAACTTGGAGCGGGCGAGTGAAGCGAGAAAACTTGCCTTTGAAAGTAAATTGGCGGTACAATGCGGCGGGGACAAAGCATATGAAGGGCGAACCATGAAAATCGCCTATCCGTAAGTTTTACTCATTTCTATTAGAGCACGTACAGTAATTAGGGCTTAAGCCCCGCCGCCACGCTCCTCTAAGGGTGTACCGTACACTAAACTTTAACCATAAACAATTCCATTCCCAGTCTAATCGTGTGAAAGCCACTGTTTATTTGTAATAGCACTGACCTTCACTAGCCCGTGTGAAGGAAGGAGGCAGTTCGCCAAATTGCATGTATTGTATTAATGAAGTACTCATGATGTCAGGTGACAAATTGAAATGATTATCTCTTGGTAAGAAAATACGACTAACTGTAATACAAAAAAGTAACACTTTTGATAAGGTGTCCATAAACAATTTTAAAGTTGGGAATACTAAAGTGAATGTCACATTAAAACCAAAGACAAAATGAAGAAAGAGTGCTGAAAATAAATACTTTGTTAGTGGTTGACACAATATCAGTTTGTTGAACACAGGATATAAGTTCTTCAGTAGTTTTTTGTTTCAAGAACACCTGAAACAGTTCACTGAACCACTAATCGGAAATTACAAAAGTGGTTTTAGGGAGAAGAGATCGACAACCGATCATATTCATACGATGGGACAAATCATCGATAAGACCAGGGGATATAGTTTGAGCACCTTCTATATATTTATTGGTTTCAAAGTCGCATATGATACTTATAATAGGGGGAACTAATTGAGGCCATGATAAAGTTTGGCATTACAAAAAAAGTTATAAGTGTGGTAAAGGCCACTATAGAACAAGTACAGTGCAGAGTAAAATTAATTAAATGGATATCCGATCCTTTCAACAGCGCACAATAATTCAGACTGGGGATACGTTGTCATACTTGGTCTTCTCTTGGGCTACGGAAATTATGTAGTGATCGGGGGGAGAACTATAACGGCGTTACCGGAATCTAGCTTGAATAATGCGGCAAAAGAGATTGGGCTAAGTATCAATAGTAGAAAAATCAAATATATGAAATTAAAAAAGAAGAAAACTAACACGATATCAATCTAAATAGGGAAATATTCCTTTGGGTGGATTCCTTTAAAAATCTTGGAACACTTCTGACGCATGATAACTCTTCGACTCTTCTGAAATTAAGGTAAGGAAAGTATAAAAAACAGAAGCTACTTTAGATTAAAATAACGTTTTGTCTCGCGGTCCCAACGACATAACTATAGGCTAAAATTATACAAGACTGCTGATACCTATAGTGATGTATGGAACTGAATGTCTAGCCTTAAATAAAAATGATATACTAAATGTATTTGAGATAAGAATCTTGAGAAGAATCTGTAGGTCAGTGCAGGACAGCGGCAAATGGAGAATACGACACATCAGATATGAGTTATATAATAACAACAATATTGTCATCAATCACTCTGCTAAGCTGGCTTCACCAAATCTGTCGCTTTCCGGAATCAACGGTGTGTAAAGAATTGACTTTTACGTGATCTGTTGGCGCTCTCAGGGTCGGTAGACCACCCCGAAGATGGCTGGATGGTGTTGAGGAAGACCTAAAGCGCATGGGAGTGAAAAATTGGAGAAGGAAGGCACGGGCACGGGAAAGAGATACATGGAACAAAATCCTGAAGGATGCCCAATATTACTTATAGACTGTTGCGCCCTAAGAAGAAGAAGAAAAAGAAGAATATTCATGAGGCCTAGGTGAATAGCCAAAGCATAATTCATCATATGAATTCATCTGTTCCAATAAATATTGAAAAAATATTTCTTTTACGTTTAATTAAGTTCATTGTTTCATTAGGCTTCGTGTTGCGTTTCTGTATGTTACCTTCTTTGTCTAACGCAGGATGTATTCATTTTTTAATTAGCTTTTTAGGTGAGGTACACTACTCGTAGAATCTATTCCATCTTTGAACGATTGCGTTTTCTGAATTGTCAGCAATGTCTGAATTTGTATTCCAAACGTAAATAAGCCGGAGATCTGTATAAGACGAAAGTAAATATGGACTCAAACGATTCCGGCTTAGGTAGGTTTTTCTGTAATATGTATAAAAAGTACCTTTACTTGAAGTAGGGATAGCCATTTAGCTACAACAGATTTGTCTCGTATGTTTTTAATGAACGGTGGACTGTCAGAAGTGCTCAAGAGATGACGAACACTAAAAGCAGTTTTGCGTTACTTCGGTTCTGTTACGTCGATGTAATAGTTCAGTATTGTGTAAATAATTCGAAAGCGTGTTACGTTTTCACAAAATGTCACTTCACACCTCGGTCGTGATCACTTCCTCTTTGCACACGCTCGGGCATCGAGACATTGGTAAACGTTGTGTGAAGATATTGCGGTTCGAACAGTGTTTGTCACGAACATCAACACGATATTAATCTGGCATGTGACAAAGTACATTTACATTTCGAAGT